GCTTAGCTTGTTGTTGTTAGCTTTTTGTTGTTAGCTTGTTACATTTTAGCTTGTTGTTGTTAGCATGGTTGTTAGCTTGTTGCATTGTTAGCTTGTTGTTGTTAGCTTGCTGTTGGTAGCTTGTTGTTGCTAGCTTGTTGTTGTTAGCTTGCTGTTGGTAGCTTGTTGTTGTTAGCTTGTTGTTGTTAGCTTGTTGTTGTTAGCTTAGCTTGTTGTTGTTAGCTTTTTGTTGTTAGCTTGTTACATTTTTAGCTTGTTGTTGTTAGCATGGTTGTTAGCTTGTTGCATTGTTAGCTTGTTGTTGTTAGCTTGCTGTTGGTAGCTTGTTGTTGTTAGCATGTTGTTAGCTTGTTGTTGTTAGCTTGTTGTTGGTAGCTTGCTGTTGGTAGCTTGTTGTTGTTAGCATGGTTGTTAGCATGGTTGTTAGCATGGTTGTTAGCTTGTTGTTGTTAGCTTGTTGTTGGTAGCTTGCTGTTGGTAGCACGTTAGGTTTAATGTCTCTTTAATTTGTTCTCCTCAGTTTCACACATCAACACTTTGGACAACAGAAACTGAACATTTAAATGTCCACCCTTGATTAATAACAGGAACATTTGTTGTTGGATTTTTTTTGTTTGTTTTGTTTGTTTGTTCTTTTGGGATAATTTCTTCTTTTTTCTAACGTGCCTGAACAGAAACTCTGTCAAAAATGCAGCTAAAGTCCTCACATGGTTGTCCACCCTGTAACTGTCCTCATGGCCCTGGGAACACTTGGTCTCTGCTCACCTGTTACCTGCCTGCTCCCTGCACACCTGGTCCTCACTTCCTCTTCTTCTTCTTCTTGTATTGTTTTACGGCGGTTGGCAGATCAGCCGTGCAGGTGTTTTACCGCCACCTGCTCTCACTTCCCCGGTGACCCAAATGGAAGAAGCGAGTAAAAGATAAAGGATGGACGGAAGCTCTCACTTCTTCAGCTGTTTGTCTTCATGCTCCTCCTGCAGGGGGCGCCGCAGCCACAGAACTCACCTGAGAGATGTGATCAACGTTTTAATGAGGAGAAACTGAAGCAGCTGTGAAGGTTCAGGGTTAGGAATCCTTTGGGTTTGGCTCCATCTGCTGGTTAGTCTTTAACATTACAGTTACATGAAACTGTCTTGTCCTCATACATGTCCTGCTGTCCTCATACATGTCCTGCTGTCCTCATACATGCCCAGCTGTCCTCATACATGTCCTGCTGTCTTCATACA